CTCCATACAGACTGGCCCCAAAAGCAAGAGTTCTGCCTGCCTCTGCCTCCAGGGTGCTAGGATTTAAAGCAAGAAAAAATTTTACATCAACTTGACACAAGCTTAGAGGAGGGAACCTCAACTGAGAAAATGCCTCCATAAAACCTGGCTGCAGGCAAGCGTGTAGATTTTCTTAATTAGTACTGATGGGGGTGAGTTCACTGTGGGTGGAGTCACTCTTAGGCAGGTGGTCCTGGGTTTTATCAAAAAGTAGGCTGAGCAAGAACCGCCTCTGGATGAGCTCCTGCCTTCAGAATCCTACCCTGTTTTGAGTTCCTATCCTGACTTCCTTCATTGATTGACATTTTCTTCATTAATGTGGAAGTGTAAGCCAAATAAAACCCTTCCTTCCCAACTTGTTTTAGGTCATGGTGTTTCGTGACCTAAATTTACTAGGCCAGGCATAGTTCACATCTTTATTCCCAGCATTCTGGGAGGCTACACCAGACTGGTCTCTATTGAGTGCAGGTCAGCAGGGCTGCATATCAGGAAATACCCAGTGGTAGAGTGGTTGGTTGCCTAGCATTCATAAGGCTCGGGTTTGATACAAAGTACTCAAAAAGAAAGAAAACATTACCTGTCTTTTCTATAATCTACCAAAAATCCAAAAATCGGATCTTTCTCATTCAAGTTTTTCCTTTTCCCAATTTTTTTTTAATTTCATATGTGTGCTGCATTTACATCACTTCCCCACCCCCTCTCCCACCCCTCTCATGTCCAGCTCCTCCCCTCTAATTCATGGCCTCTTTTTCTTTTCTTATTATTGACATACACATATATGTACATGAATAAATATGTAAATACAACCTGCTGAGTTCATTTAGAATAGCTCCTCCACATGTTTTTCAGGCTGATGACTTGGTATTAAATGACCAATTAGGGGGTTCATCCCTAGGAAAGAAATTCTCCCTCCCTCTCTCTACATTAACTGCCTGTAGCTCTTCATCTAGGAACCAGGCTTGGGTGTTTTAGTCTTTTCAGATACAAGCTCTCTGTAGCCTAGGCAAACTTGCAGTTTACTTTGTTGCCATTCTGGACTCAAATTCACAATAATCCTGCTTCAGATTCCCACAGGCTAGGATTAGCTTGCACCGTCACGTTTCTATTTGAATTTTACTCATCAACAAGAAAACAATTGAAAGGAGAAACATAAGGCTGTGCCATACTAAATACTGTGGAAAATCTGCACATTGTCGGGTAAGATTTACAAAACAGAATGTTGGGGCTGGAAAAATATGTATTGCCTTCAAACTCCCCTATTAAAATCCAAGCTCCACTTTTTGTCTTTAAGTTTCAAAAGTTACTATTTTGTTTGTTGGTATATTCTAAGATAGAATAATTCTTGGCAAAAAGCAAATACTCAAAATTATTTGTTGAATAATTTTTAATTCACTTATTTTTATTTTATGTATATGGGTGTTTTGCCTACAAGTTATATCGGCACCTTTTAGCAGTGCCTGGGGAGACCAGAAGACAGGTGCTGGGAATTGAACCAGGTTCCCCTGAAGAGCAGCCAAAGCTCTTAACTAAAGTAGATCAATTTTTAAGGCTAAGAAAGCAGACACCGAGAGATTTTACTCACTGCCATATCTACTGGCAAAGCTAAAAATGGCACTCATTTTCTTAATTTAGTAGTCTATCATCTCTAGAAGGCAAAATTTCATTTTAATCTTTTCCTAAAGAAAGGATTGTGGCAGGCATTCAAAAGGGAAGGGAAGCATAAACTAAAAATTTTTCACATTTTTCTCCAATTTTGTTATTTCTCTTTAAGTGATAAGGGCTAAAAAGCTAAAAAACCAACCAAATGCAGTGTGTTACATCTAATATTTTAAAAACTGCATAGCATATTTGTTTATTTTAGCACCTGGGAGGTGAAGGCAAGCTTACAGGAAAGTTCCAGGACACTCAGGGCTAAAGACCCCGTCTCAAAAACAAACAAAAACAATCTCTCTCTCTCTCTCTCTCTCTCTCTCTCTCTCTCTCTCTCTCTCTCTCTCTCTCTCTCTGAATGAATGAATATAAACGGGTGAACCTACTCCAAACTGATCATCTAACTGCTGGAGGCAGAAACTAGCATCTGGCTAATCTTCATAACTGCCAAAGAGCCCTTTAACAGTTTCTGCATAGACAGCAAGAGTTATCAATCACTTTCTTCCAAATAGAAGATTGGGGAAAGAGATGAGTTTTAAAATATCCTTTGCTGGGCCCAGTGGCACACACCCATAATCCCAGCTTCTTGGAAGACTTGGGGTGGAAGGATCACTTAAGTCTAAGAACCTGGGTCAGAACAGCAACACAGCCATACACTCCTACCCTCCACAACATCTCTGCCCTGAAGAATCTCACTTGAGTACACACACCTGTCTCTGTGTGTTAGAAGAGTAGAAAACAGAGCAGACGGTGACATAAATAGATCAATAATGAATGTGAAACCAGGTTACACCACTATCTGACTTGACGTAGTTCAAGCAGTTAAAAAAATTTTTTTAAATAAAAAATTTGAGGAACTGAGAAGATGGCTCAGTAGGCAAAGCATGAGTAACAGAATTCAAATCCTACATAAAAAGCCAACTATGGCTGAGAATGTCTGTAACCCCAGCACTGGAAAGCAGAGCAAGCAGATCTCAAGAACCCACTGGCTAGCTGGCCCACTTCCCCAAAATGCAAATGCCATTCACTGAGAGATGTCTCAAGGAAGCACACCTGACATCCTCTTCTGGTCTCTTCATGCCCTCAACAGGCACACGCACCTGTGCACCACACACACTTTAGACAGTCTCTCTGCACTGCCTTGGCTTAACTCTCACATTCCATGTAGCTCACACTAGTCTTAAACCATCACAAGTGCTGGGATTATAGGAATGTGCCACCAAACCCAATTAACCTAACTTAAAAGATAAAAAAGATGAAATCTAAGAGAGAAGCAGGTATAAACACTATGAATTTGAGGCCTGCATGGTCTACAGAGTTCCAGGCAGCCAAGGCTACACAGTGTGATTGTCTCAAAGCGAGCACACACACACACACAGACTCACACACACATAAAGAACAGGGGCTGTAGAGTTGGCGCAGCTCAGGTTAGGAACACTTGTTGCTCTTGTAGAGAAACCAGGTTGGGGTCCATTACCCATGTGGTGGTTTATAACCATTGACAACTCTAGTTCCAGGAGACTTATGTGGGCACCAGGCATGCACATGCCCTTATATATATGTATACATGCAGGCAAAACATTCATACATGTTAATTAAATCTAAGAACCACAATTTACTAAGTTTTAAAGGAAGAAGACACCTAAGTAAATATTTTAAAATAGGGTTTTTTTCTGTTCCTTTACAATATAATCTCACTGTATCTTGGTATTTTAATAGCAAAATATTCTAAATTGACTTATTTGAATTATCAATATAAATTCAAACATGAAACACTAAGAACAATTCCCCTTGGTGATTCAGCACTTGTTCTGGATACTGTTAACACCTAAATACATACCCACAAGAATATATGTAAATTGTCAAAGTGACTATAAAAAGAAAGAGCCCGAAGCAAACTTCCAGAGATGAATGATAGATAGTAAGCAGAAACTAAAAACACAGTCCCATGGAGGAGAAAGGTGAGTCCGCACAGAACCGAGAAGCAACTGTACACAGGTCTTCAAGGGAACAAAATCTTTGAGAGAGGGGAAACTGCCAGAATTAGCCAACAGAGTCAGAACACAACAGACTGCCAACAGAGATCATGTTTAAGGCAGGGCACTAACTAGATTCACAAAGTCAACACCCAAAACTCAATGTTTCCATTCCTCAAATTTGAGTTTCAGAAGGATCCTTCCAAACAGATTCATGACCAAGACTAAAGACTCAACCAGTTAAAGGCTCCATCTTAAAAATTCTTCCCTATTATCTGCTGATCAAAACACAGTGACCCACAGGAAATAAGGTTGGAAATGTAAAATGCAGTTTGGGAGGCCATTCCTGGACACTGAGACTCTTTACCTGAAGAGCTGTAAACACACACATACTGTTTATATAAAATCACCTTTGCTGGGGATGTGGCTCAGCTACTAGAGAAGCCCTTGGGTTTGAGCCCTGGTAATAAATAAACTTAGCATAGTGGTCCAGCCCGTGAGCCCACCACTCGGGAGGCAGAATTATCCAAAGTTCAAGGTCATTCTTGACTACACAGTGAGTTGAAGGCCAGCCTGGTCTACCTGTTTCAAAATAAGTAAGTAAATTAAAATCTCCATCCTGGTTCCTGGGGAAAATACTTTTTTTCTCTCTATCCCGAAATGTTAGGGAGAAAAAACACCTCAAGAACTCTTTATCGTAACACAAAAATGTCTACTGGCCAAGCCACATGCCCTAAGTGTAGAGCTTTAGCTTAAGTGCAGGCAAATCTAGGCCGAGGAGACAAGATGGCAGGGAGCTATCACAGGGCAGCCTGTAAGGTTGAGGTGGGGTACAGTCCCCAACTCTGGGGAGAACAAACTCCTGGACAGTGGAGATGGCTGGACCGGCAGGTGTGTAGCACCTCATCCGCCTGGTTGTCATAGTGAGAGGACGACTCGGGTTTTACAGAGACGGAGAACCCTCCTGAGTGAATGATCTTCAGAGTTTCCTAGGAAACTCGAGGACGGGGCTCTGAAGGAAGAGAAAGCGAGAGGCAGAGACAGACAGACAGACAGACAGAGAAAACCGCTTTGGGCAGAAATCGCTCAGGGAAGTTAACTCCGCTGTGCCCCCCCCCCCGGGCCCGCAGGGGCGGACAGAGCCGCCCACCTGCTGAAGGCTGGCACTGTTGGTCCCCAGGACGGCGACCAGAGCCTGCCCCTCACGGGTGGGAAAGTCTGCAAGGGGAGCAGCGCAGAAGTTAACACGGGCGGGCAGAGCGCGAGTGGGACAAGCGCCCGGACGGGATGCGACGGGGAGGAGGGGGACCGGGGGGGGGGGGCTCGGCAGCGCTCTCTCCCGCCCGTGAGCAAAGCTGAGCGAATCCTGCTCCGCCGAGGTCGAGCCTCGCACCGTGCGAGCTCCGCCGGAGTTCACCTGACGGCCGTCAGGCCCGCACAGAAACTTCCCGAGACGGTGAGCACTGCCGGGACCCGTGGAGGCGGCCGGGTGGGAGCCGCGCGGGGCGGAGCCGAGCTCCAGGAGACCCCGGGGCGGGGGCGCGGCGGCCGCGGCTGGGTGGGGGGCGCTCCGGCTTGGGGTGGCGCCCGCGCTCCTCACACGCGCTCCCGCCGGGCGGCCCGAGAGCGGCCGCCGCGCCAGCGCCCGAGAGCGGTGGGGGGAGGGCCGGGGAAGCCCGGTGGGTCGAGCCGGGCGGACCGGCGGGCGGCGTTACCTGTGTCAGGGAGAACTGGGCTGCCGCAGCCATGGTGTTTCCATCATGCACGGGAGGGGAAGGAAGGACGGGCGGACAGGGGCCGGGGCGGGAAGGAGGCGGAGGGACAGGCCGTAGGCGAGGCCGGCGGCCGGGCGTCTCCCCGAACTTCGACAACTTCCCTCTTCACGCCGCCCCGCCCCGCCCTGCCCCGCCCCGCCCCGCCGGCCCCACAGGCCGCGGCGGCGCGCAAAGCCCGGCGCGGGAGTCTGAAGCGCGGAACCAGGCCCTGACCCCGGCCGCCCTGGAAAACCCGGTGCGGATGGAGCACCGGGGCGGACCGGAGGCGGAGGCGGCGTCCTGGAGTCCTAAGAGAGAAATGTAGGCAGAACGCGGACTTTCTTGGGCTGCTGCTTCTGAAAAACGCGGGAAGATATACCCGTGCCCAGGTGGCTTGTGGGAACTAAAAGAGTAGTGGTACTAAGTAATGTAGTAATGTAGTAATAATATTAAATAACACTGGTTTATATGGGATTGACTCTGCACCAAATGCTTTATTTTTATTTTCTGTTTGCTTTTGAGACAGGGTGTCTATGTAGCCTTAGCTGTCCTGGAGCTCACTATATAGACAAGGCTGGCCTCGAACTCACAGAGATCCTCCTGCCTCTGCCTCCTGAGTGCTGGGATTAAAAGCATGCGCACCGCCACACTTTTTTTTTTTAAATTGCATGACTAGGGGATTTGAAACAGAAAGAAGCTATACAAATGAGGAAGATGAAACCCAGCTGGGCACGGCGGCACACATACCTTTAATCTCTGTGAGCTTTTGTGTCTGCCTGGTCTACATAGTGAGTTCCAGAACAGCCATGGATATGTATAGGTGATACTCTGTCTGAAATTAAAAGAAAGGGAATACAGCCCCCCCCCCACACACACACACACAGAAAGTATCTTACCTGAAGTTAAACAGCTGACTAGGAAGCCGGGTTACAATTTAACTCCAAAGCCTTACCACGGGCTGTCCACGGAAAACGGCCCGGAAAAACTAAGGCGCGTAAATCGTTTTCTTCTAAAGCCAAAATCTGGGGCGCAGAAAGAGACTGCTTCCCTTGCCTGCTGCCTGTCCCTCCTGGAGTGTTAATAAAAGCATGTGTAGTACCACAGTACAGTTCAGTGGGACCTGGTGTGCATGAAGCCCTGGGTCCCATCCCAAATTCGCCTCTTGGCAAGGTATCTCCTCTGCAAACCTGTGTGGACACTCTTTGTGTTAATCCTCTCTCGACGGGAGGAAATCGGCATCCCCCTAAGGACTTGTCTGTAAGTCTACCCCCCACCAGATCGAGAACTCCTCAATGACAAGAACTTTTTGATATATATGTATTTTAATATCATAACAGTACAGTGTATACTTAATAAAGGCCTTCATCCTGCCTCTGTTAAACGTCATATACCTTTCACTTCCTCATGTTACTACCTTTAATGGAATAACCAACCACTAACTTGAAATTTTCATTTGCGAAAGCTTAATGTCTTAGTTAGGGTTTCTATTGCCGTGATGCAACACCATGACCAGAAAGCAGGCTGGGGAGGAAAGGGTTTATTTATTTGCCTTATGCTTCCATTATTGAAGGAGGTCAGGACAGGAACTCGAACAGGAACTTGGACAGAACAGGAACCTGGAGACAGGAACTGGTGCAGAGATCATAGAGAGAGGCTGCTTACTGGCTTGCTCCTCATGGCTTTCTCAGCCTGCTTCCTTATAGAACCCAGGACCACAAGCCCAGAGATGGGCCCTCTCCTATCAATCACTAAATTAGAATTTTTAAAAAATGCCCTGCTGTGAGATCTTAAGGTGGCATTTCCTCAACTGAGGTTCCCTCACTTCCGAAACTCTACTTGTGTCAAATTAACATAAAGCTAGCCAGCACATGTATGAAGCCTATCTCAAAAAGCTTCTAGGAAATCTGCATACCTTTTAAATTGAGGAGAGAGAGAGAGAGAGAGAGAGAGAGAGAGAGAGAGAGAGAGAGAGAGAGAGAGAGAGAGAGATTTTCTCTCCTTTTACCGTGGGGGTCTCAGGGATGGAACTCAGACTGGCCATCTTGGCAGACTTTGCCCTTATCTATTAAGTTGCTCCACAGGCCACAACCTTACCTTGTTTTAAGAGTTAGTTGAGGGCCTGTCTGCATCTCACTGGCCTGTAAAATCCTTGAAGGCCGACTACTACTCTGTGTTACAAGTCCCCAGCCCCAATATGTATTTGCGCAGATTGTTCTCCCTTCCTCAGTCATGGTTGGTTTCCAGGGGAAATTCCAACTGTGAGGACCACAAGTCTATCATGCCCATGGCTGTTGGCATTATAATAGAATATCCTTCAAAATATGATACAGCTGGGAAGACCTAAGGTCTAGTTACATTTCTGTTTTTAGACTTTTTCCATCACAGGCAAAAAAAACAAGGAAGACTCCAGAACTCCTGGCTCTACCCAGACTCCTCTGACTTAGTCCAGCCTCAGAGAGCAAGTTATACAGGTCTGATGAGCAACCACTTAGTCAGGAGTGTCTCCTTTGACCTCTTTTCGCCTTCATTCCTTCTCCTTTTAAAGGAAGAAGAGGAGAAACTATCGAGCTCTGAAGCATCAGCTGAAACCCAACTGATGTTGACGTTGGCATCTTCTGCTTCTCATTATTAAGTCTGAACTTCACACACACACACAAAAAAAAAAAAAAACTCTAAAAGGAAGCAATTATCATACTCACTTCACAAATGAGGTACTCAGTGTCACAGAGGTCAAGTAATTTGCCCAGGGTTATATGGTTAATAGCCAAAGTAGTTGAGATATCAAAATAAAACTTAGGCATCAGAATCACTGGGTACAACAAAGGAATCACTAGTTGTAGACTTTAGAGGGGCTACGAAATGATGGGTGAGAAGTGCTTTAAGTTGTCGGTACACAACTCAAGTTCAGAAACCAGAAAGTCATAGAGCATTCTGTATTGGAGGATAGCTGGAAGGAAGGTTGTTCTCTGACCTTAGCATACACACCATAGTATGTTAAGGAAATAATAGGAACTATCACTATGCATTTGCTTTAAGTAAAAAAAAAAAAAAATGAAACCTCTTATCTATATAGTACTGCTTTAGCAGTTATGTCTTTATTTGCAAAATCTAGCACACTAACTCCTAGTAGCTAACAGCTAACTTATAAAAGTTTGTTGAGCTAAACTAAATATATAATCTCAGGCATACTTGTCTGTACCTTCAGTTTATCCCCATTTCACAGATAAGAACATTGAGAGGCTGGGGAGATGGCTCAGTTGATAAAGTGCAAGCAAGAAAACCTGCATTATTTGATCCTCACCATCCATGCAAAACAGAAAGAGAGAGAGAGAGAGAAAGGGAGAGAGAGAGAGAGAGAGAGAGAGAGAGAGAGAGAGAGAGAGAGAGAGAGAGAAGCCAAGCTAAGTGGCACGCATCCACCTATAATCCTATCACTGGAGAAGCAAACACCTCAGGATTTCTGAGGCTTGATAGCCAGGCAGTCTAGGGAAATGGGTGCCTGGAACTCAGCGAGGGACCTTCTCTCAGGAATAAGGTAGACATCACTAAAGAAGATAACCCTGCATCACCCTTGTCCTCTGCAAGCACGTGCCTACTGACGTATAAGCAGTTTGGGTCTTCCTGTAAGAAAAAAAAACATGCTCTGGGGGTATAGCTGAGCAGGCAAACTTGCCCAGGCTGCACCAGGTCCTTGCGTCAATCCAAAAGAAAAAAAAAAAAAAAAAAAAGGAAAGGAAGGAGAGGAGGAGGAGGGGAGGAAGAATGAAAAGGAGAGAAGGAAGGAGCACCTAGGAAAGGAAGACGGCCTTCAATTCATTCTATAGGAAATCCTCCCAGTCCCTTTGGGAGCACCAGTGATTTAGAGTGGTTTCTCCACTCATGAGCTCTGGTTTCAATTACTAGCCTGTAGTAGGGGATGGAAGCGGGTCTGTGGGGATAGCGCTGACGGGCCAAACTCCCAAGGCCTACAACTTCCGAGAATGGATTTTTTTTTTAATGACACACCAATGATAAATTTGCAAATGTGTGTCCCAGATCTCATCAAAGCACTGGGTCACATCCCAAATCTATTTTGAGAAGACAAAATATAGATAATGAAAGATATATTATGATCTAATTCATTGTAGCAGGAATGAGCTACACAGGGTAGACAAAAAAGACTTAGTTTTTTTAGGGCAGCTTTAAGTGTCTCTCAGGCTCTAAGCTTCAAATTCCTGGCATGTCCTTCTAATATAATAATAACCACTTTGTACGGATAGTATAAATATTAGACATCATTCATAAATGGTCTATGACAAAGACTGGCCTGGACTCTGTATCTTCAGTAACTGATATTTATACAATACCATTATGTAAAGTCACCACTCACTCCCTACTTTTCAGTCAACCGTCTAATTACTAAGTGGCTCTGTAGTTACAAGTTATTAGTTACAAGAAGGCGGAGGGACTGTCTTGAACACCCGACACTTGTATCCCTGTCATTAAAAGGTAGATGCTCCCTAAGAACTAAAGTTGTATCTGATGACTATAATCTGGACACTAAGAACCAAACTTGTCTTTACAACAACCCGATAAGGATTGCTTCTACCTAACTATACAGAAGAGAAATTTGTTCAAATTCATAATTCACAGGTCTTCTGACTCAAACCTGATTTCTTTAATAATGTGTATTGTTAGCATCCTGGAGAAATAGCCCCCAAGAAGACAGCATAAACTGGAATTCTGAGCCTGGAAAACGGAACGGGAAATGTGGATTTGTGATAAGCCTAAACTTGGGATGAGCCTGACGAGGAGCCTTTAAATCACAGACAGCTTTGCCCTTGGACTTGCCCCTTCGCTATTCTAACTTTCCCATTCCTGAACCTATCCTTAAAGGAAATCTTCGCGTTTCTGTTTCTTTGTTTCCCAACTTTTGAAAGCAGATGTCATATCAGTCTTTCATGAACACCACGCATGTGTGATGTCAGCATCTGTACAGCCGAGAGATGCAGGATAACTGAAACGATGAGGGGAGGCGGTGAGGACCTCTGGATGTACAAAGAGCGGTTTGTGTGCACGAATCTCTGTGACAGGCCTTCCACGGAAATGGTGCTACCCTGGAAAACAAAGTTGTACTGCGATTGTAA